AACGGCCCAGATCCTACGTATAAATAACTGAATTAGCTCTAGGCTAGTACCGCCACCCGCCCAGGCGACCAAAAGGAGACGCCTGGCAGGCTAATTATTTGCCTGGGTAGTGTAGGCCAGGCTTGCTCCAATTTTTCAGGGCTTCATCCAAACAAAGACTAGACAGCAACCAGGGCAGGCCTTCTCAAGTGTGGAAGCGGACCAAACTAGCTCTAAAGTACCTACCAGCCTTAAATCCTTTAGGGTGTATTTGGTTGCCATCGGCTACAGTACCTATGTTGCATATCGTTCTCCACTCAGCCTGACTCTAAAAAAACAGCCTCATATGCGACATCTGCAAATTGTTTGGTTGCCTACATATGGACTTCTTGCATTAGGGGGTCAACTTTGACACGTTGTTTGGTTGCCTGCAATGTCTTGGCGTATACAACTACACGTTGTTGGGTTGCCCGCATGGGGTATGATTAAGAGCTAGCACTTACACTTAGCACACAAGGTTAAGAGCTAGCAGAGGAAGGGGAGAAGAAATGCAGTGTGCACCGGACCATGACGATTGCGGTGGGTAGTGGCCGTGGCGCCATGTAACGCCCCGTATGTAACTTGCCATATTTGTATTCCAACTCTTGCCATTTTCGGCACTAAGTTATGATATTCCCTCGGAGTCGGGTTTTGTCTTCCTTTTGCTTTTGTCCTTGTCATGCATCTCATATCATGTCATCATGTGCATCGTATTTGCATACGTGTTCATCTTATGCATCCGAGCATTTTCCCCGTTGTCCGTTTTGCATTCCGGCACTCCTATATCCTCCGGCGTCCCCTTTTGCCTCTTTTCGTGTGCGGGTGCTAAACGTTCTCGGATTGGACTGAGACTTGCCAAGCGGCCTTGGTATACTACCGGTAGACCGCCTGTCAAGTTTCGAGCCATTTGGAGTTCGTTTGATACTCCAACGATTAACCGAGTAACCGTAAAGGCCTCATGTGTGTTGCAGCCCAACACCCCTCCAAAGTGGCCCAAAACCTAGCTAAACCCCCTTCATCCTCTCGGTTGTTCGATCACGATCGCGTGGCCGAAAATCGCACCTCATTTGGACTCTCCTAGCTCCCTCTACCTATAAATAGGTCTCCCCCTCCGAAATTCCCGCAGTCCAAAACCCTAGCCCACTCCTCCGCGCCACCGGACACGTCCGCCGCCGGCCGCACGCGTTCGCCACCGCCCGCGTCCACCGGTGTCCGCCACGTGTTGCCGTCCCGCCACCGACCGCGCCGGCCCTCCCGTGCCCGACCCGGGCCGCGCCCCACCGCACGCGCCCTC